GATTAGGTCAATAGAGCACCATAGATTGATAGTAGTGGATCGATTGCTTTAGTCGAGATTTGATTCACTACTTTGTATCGATTGAGAACCTCATTCGATAGAGGGAATCTAGTTCAGAACGCCTTGATCGGTTGTTCTAGAGAAGGATACGTCCCTCTAGACAATTGACTCAAGAGGGCCTTGTTCCTTTAGTCGAGACTCAAGGTCTAGTCAAGGATTCTTCGCATTGTGAATGAAAGTGAAACAAGTTAGAAATCATCAATCGTTAGTCTGGCTAGTGGCTAGAGGGAATCATACCTAAGTGAGTTCCCAACCTATAATTAGATTAACTTTAACTGTAGTTTAGAGTAGTTTTAGTTCTTTCATCTTAATCTGGTTTGATAAATAATAAACTGAAGCTGAGTAATAGTAACTCTAGAGACCCGTGGATTCGATATTTATTACTTGAGCCACTATACTGCAGTCCCTTCCATTGGTTACACTTGGCCATTGTTAGGAGTGGTGTTTTATCGTTTCAATGTCCTTTAATTCTTACCTCGGTTTAGAAATTGAGATTGTGGTCTACGACCACATATGCATCCTTCTGCGGTTCGCAGTTACCTTGCCCATAGCAATCGTTTCAATCCAACAAGTCACGTTAGCTAGTTAGGGGGTAAGCAACTCCCGGGTGAAGCTCCCTTAGTTAGACTTTTCCTTTATTTACTTTTCGTTGCTAGTTTAGTTTGTAGTTTTCTTTTAGTTTTAAATCCCAAAACCGTTTTGCTAGATAACAACTTAAGTGATTATTACTTGCTCTATACTGCACCCGACTAGAGTTTAAAAACTTGGACTCTAGTCGGGATTAATTTGTGGTGTAGTTTCGTGCGAGTCAAGTATAGAGCAAATATTTTTTTAATTATTAACCCAGGTGGTCTATCTATCCTTACTTCAACGAACTAATTGTTATCTAGCAATCGAATTGTTGTTTTAACTACTTAAGCAAACAAGCATGCACCTAAATGAAGATTGAATTCAATTGATGAAACTTTACTTGGATGAGTTTCTCCATAGTCCGATGTTGAGGTTGACGTGGTGATACCCAACCACGATTCTTACTTAGCATATACCACAGAGAGCTCTAAGCTAGATAGGATTCTCTATTCGAGTTCTCATATACCCCCCAACTACACTACCCCGAGAGGTGTACCGAACTACCAATCTAGGCAATTGGGGCTACCAATCCACTTACATATGGGTAAAGACCCGAAAATGGTGCAAAGAGTTTAATCACACTTGTTCATAGACCCCGAGCATTGATTAGGCAAAAGAGCTAGGACCTGAAATGTATCAAAACAAGCGCAACCTAGCGTGAAATATGTCGAGGAACGATGAAATACTAAGCTAAACGAATAAGAAATGAGGGGTAAAATGTGTACATTTGGGCCCGAATCAGTATTTAAAATTTTTGTTCGAATATATTGAAAATGAATCTCATTTTGTAGATCATAATGAACTCGTACCATCTATGCAAAAAAATTTCAAATCCAAGTTATAATGGAAAAGACAAGAACTTATTAAGAAAACTAAGAAAAATAAAAAGTATTAATTTCATCGCTTAAATCTGGACTTTTCTGATCCCATTCAAATTTAAGGGTTTAGATTTAGTTATGGCAGCGTGCAGCCACGGGCCACCTTGGCCTTAACCCTAAAATAAATTTTATTGATAGGAAACCCTAAACTAAAGGGTAAATTGCAAATTTGGTCACTGAGTTTACTAAAAACATTCACGTTTGGTCACTACAAATATTTAATTCAACTCGTGGTCACTAAAATTAGTTCAATAGTTCAAGTTTGGTCACTCTCCCTTAGTCTCCGTTAACTTTTGCGAATGTGACAGTTAACCTTCATAGTTGATCTCTAAATGAGTGAAGTGGCTACTAAAAAAATAATGATAAAATTTAATCTTTTTAATTTACACCTATTTTTCAAAACTATTTAAAAAATTACCAAATCTTGTTGTTCCCCCGCTGCCACCGATCCTTCCGCTTCTCCTCCGGTAAGTAGGGGACCGATTTTTTCACAAGTCGCCGTCATTGATTCAAGCAACTACATCTTCCACGCTACCAGCGAACCTCCGCTTCTCCTCTGGTCTTCAACCAGGTCGAGGTTTTCAACTTTTGACGCTTCTCTTAGCCACTCGACATATCTGTGTTCACTAGAGATTGGTGCGGCGCCGGAGCTCCGAAACTCCAAAAAGCCAAAACCCCATGAAACCCAGATCGTGATTCTTCGGTGTAGACCAGTCCTGCGTTGGTTGAAATACAAAAACTACACCCCTTAGCCCTTACCTAAATCAAGAAGGGGCTAGGTCGAGGAAGAAGGGGACCGGGAATTCGAAATTGATGGGGGAGAGACGGATTCGCGACGACTTCTCTAAGGAGTAGAAGGGGTGGGGTTTGTACCTTCAATTGTGACCTTCTAGTTGGGGGTTTTAGTGTAAATCGTTTGATTGATAAATCAGGGGAACCTGTATGCAGAGAAATAGAGTATAGTCGAAACTGATTCATGAAATGTTGAATGAGTAAATGAAAACCGGATGGGGGAGAGCAAAAGAAGTTAGGAGTGACCGGGATAAAGCATGACCTAAAACATAGATTGTGGCGGCTAAAGATGGCGTTTGTAGTTGTGGTGCACGAAGCCTGCAACAAATTTAGCGATTGGAACGGTGCTTGGCGTCATGCAACATATTTGGATATGGGACGAAATCGGCAGCGACTACGATTAATCTCTAAGCATCTGTTGGGCTCGGATTGATCCTGAACATAAGTTTAGAAGAATTGCCCAATCCGATTGATTTCACATAAAATTCGATGGATCTAGTCGGAACAACAGAGGATCTGGCAAAGGAAGGGATGGTTGCATCGAAGTCCATCTTTCTAATGAGAGGGATTGGCGCAAGGCGCAGTAGACAACTTCTTCATCAGGAAAAATTGAATGATTAAATTTTTTATTAATTTGTAAATGGCACGTCACTCATTTAACGTCAATTATGAATGTTGACTGCCACGTTAGCACAAATTAACAGAGACTAACGGAGAGTGACCAAATATGAATTATCAAACTAATTTAGTGACCACGAATGAAATTAAATATTTGTAGTGATCAAATATGAACGTTTTTAATAAATCCAGTGACCAAACTTGCAATTAACCCCTAAACTAAATTAAATTAAGAGTTTTGTTTATTATATAGGCAAAATACATCTGTATAGCCATAACTTTCACACTTGTGACAAATATAGCCATTACTATTCGAAAACCACAAATAGCCCAAAAAATGGAGGGTAGTGTGACAAATCTAGCAAAAAACGTTAGAAACTTTAACACCGTCTGCGATTCCGTTAAATCATTTGACGGAACGCTGACGAGGACGCCATCCGACCTCCGCATGATTAACACTTCAGCAAAATGCACACGTGGAATGCCACGTGTAGAATAAAAAAATGTTGGTCAAACAATTAGTCCATAAAAAATGTAAGATAAAAAAATAAAAATAAATTAAATAAATATTTTTTATTTCCTCTCTTCCATCTCTCTTCTTCCCCATCCCTTCCGGCCAAAACTCTCTGTTCTTCAAACTGTCTCGATTCTTCCATCACCACTGGATTCTTGCCGGAGCTCTTCTCCCTCTCCTTCTACTCTCTCCACCTCGCGCCACTCACCCTGCCGACACTGCTTCTTCCTCCCAAATCTCCACTCCAACAACATTCTAGATTCAAAATGCACCCAACCCCCAAACCAAGATCCTTGACAAGACGATTTCAGATCTAGCGGATGGAGCTCACTGACCAGATGACGACCAACTGCTCTCGTCGTCATCAGATTGGTATTGAAGCTGCTGCTGCTTCTCGGCGGAAGGAAGGGTTGGAGGAACGCAACGACGGCGACAGGAGAGTGGGTGAGGTAAATATCAGAGGTGGGTTCGGCGACTACTAGATGGACGGGTGATTGGGTTTTTCTGGGTTTTTCTCGTCATTGTTGCGCACCGGCATCGACCCGGCGGAGTATTTTGGCGGAAGAAGCAGCGCGCCTTCCTGTTCTTGCGCCATTAGGAAGACAGTCTCGATTGTACCGCATGGTTGGAGGGCGGCGGGAAGCGGAGATCTAGGGTTTTGGACGAGCAGTGATAAAGGCAGTGACGGTGGGTGGTATAGATCTAGGGGGAGATTTACCGATTAGTGGTGTAGAAGATGGCGGCAAAGACGGCGATTCCGGCCAAGGCAGTGACGGCTACAACAGCAGCAGGTGAGGAAGCAGAGTGGGAACCACCCGCCGTCGTCAACGCCCAGGGGTTCTGCAATTTCGGCTCAGTTCCAGATCGGGTTCTTCGTCCTGGTTTGATGAAATCCGTTTCGTTTCTCACCACCGACCAGCCCTCTGTAGATGAACAAGCAGGTTGCTGCTCTTTGCCTCTGTTTTGATCGGCGAGAAAAACAGAGAGGGTGGTGATATATCTCTGCGTCCCTCACTCTCGTCGACCTCGAAATCCTTCAGCGCAGCAGTACCTCTGCCGAGAAGAAACAAGCAGGTTGCTTGACCTTCTCCCCCATCTCGTCGTGCTTTTGAATGGCTTCCGATTAGTTTATCCTTCTTTGGGCTTACCGCTGCTTCCGATTCGTTTCCAATTTCGGCGGCGACTGGTGATGAGATAAAGAATTGGCCCCGAATTTGGGGTCTCCAAGAACCTAAATGAGCATTTTGATTTTTTGAGTTTTTTTGGCTTTTTTTAACCTACGTGGACTTTAACTGACGAAATGTCGCCAGGTCAGCATTTCCGTCAGTCTAGTCAGATGGTTAAGTAACACCGTTAAAATGATGGACGGAATTGGCTATTTTGGGTTTTCGAATAGTTCTGGCTATATTTGTCAAAATCGTGAAACTTATGGCTATACAAGTGCATTTTGCCTATTATATAATAGCTCGTCTCTGATCTTTCGAAACCCAGAAACATAGCTCGCGAAAATGCAGAGACTCCTCTCATCAAGCCTCCTCTCCAAGCGATTCACAAACAGTTGCACTTCTTCACTTCTCCATTCTCAACCTCACAATTATTTCGCTTCTCTCCCCAACCCGAAAAACTTCCTTCTTCAGTCTCATCCTTTTCTTTCCTCTTCTGGTAAATGCCCAATTCGTCGTTCCCATTCTGATCACCCACATCTCAATGTTAAGGGCAGTATTTTTCCCTGGTTCCGTCCCAATCCCTCTCTTTCCAAGCAGTTCTCGTCAAATTCGCGCAATGCCCACTTCAGGGAAGCCAGCGGAAGTCTCGTTCGACGTAAAGCTGGGGTTCTGGAGGCTCGTTTCGCTAGGGGATACCGTGGATTTGACAGGGGTTCACGCTCTTCCGGTCGTGACTGGTAATTCTCTCTTTCTGTCTATAAACTAGGTATTCTGTGCTAATGGCAATGAATACGTACGATTCTGTAGTTAACCACGATTTCCTATTCTTTTATGCAATTCCGAGACTCATTGCTCGGAATGGTGCTTCGTGTATCTTAAAATCTGACAATAGCGGCCATGCTGGTAATCTATCGCATAGTTTGTGAGCTTTTTAGCATCGTCATTCACGTCACTGTAGCATCTGGATGGAACTTAACCACTGTGCTCTTTGACCCAGCATTCTACTCCCGTAGTCTTTGATTGGAATGGAGACTTGTTAGAAGACCTACTCAGGATATTCTCTTGTTAGTCTCACGGAAATGGTCAGGGCTTAAAAATCTGGTCATGATGAAAGAATTCTTGGAAGAAACTAAAACTTGGCCATGCTTTCTATCTCAATGATTGAACTTTTGCTGCTTGCAGGAGATTATGGTTTCAGCAGCTAACACCTAACGACATGGTTTTGGGCCTGATTATTGCCAATGCTGCTGTTTTCATGTTGTGGCAGATTGCAGACCGGAGATTTATGGTGGAAAACTTTATGGTGGGTCCCTTAATTTTTCGTATTAGAGACATCATTATTTGCCAATAGATCAAGGGTTCTTGTTCATCTTTTCTTTATACCTTGTATTATGGTCATTATTTCCTGAAATCAGCTTTTGTGGGATGGACCTTTACGGTAGGCTGTTATATCCTAATCGTAGTTCGTTGGTGTCGCCTGCTTTCTGCTAACATAATTGGATGTTCCAAGTTCAGATTTCATTGGACAATTTCAGAAGTGGCCGCATTCACACATTGATTACATCTGCATTCAGCCATATGGATATCGAACACCTTGTTTCAAACATGATTGGGCTTTACTTCTTTGGGGTGAATGTAAGATCATTTCATTTCTCTTGAACCATCTCTTTTTGTTTCCCTGTCTTTTTTCTCACATGTCAAAAGTACTTTTGGTTTCTGTAAATCTTGCGGTTTTCAGGTAGATACTTCTATTAATTCAAGATATACATGACCTGATCAGATGAATGAAGCTAGTTTTATGCATTATACTTGCGAAGCTCCTCTCTTATGCATTCATAAACCATGCATTGGAATAATATTGAAGCTACTCTTGATGGTAGTTGCTTCCTAGTATTCTAAATCATTTATTGAGCTGAGTACAGAGAGGGATCTGCCTCATCAATTTGCCAATCTTATTCAGTATTTGTAAGATTTGTTTGTCGTGGGATAGTTTGAAGTTTCACTAATGAATTTTGAAGTCTTCCTATGTATTTTTAGAATGATGCCTATAAAGCTGAGGTCATTTGTTAAACCGTACCATATAATGTGTTTTTTTATGTATGAATGAACAAACAAATGTTGGAATCTCTATAAATGCAATTGGTTCCATTCCCTTGGATGGTTTATGTAATTTTGATTTGCCTTTTCTGCTCAGGACCAGACTTAAGTAGGTTTATTATTATTATTTTTTTACTTATGTACTGTATTATTGGGTTTTGTTTTGTGCTGTACTTTTACACATGCGAGTTTCTTAAGCCAATCTCTGTTTTTTCCACCATTCATTCTACTCCCAACTTCTATTGCCAGATTGCTGAAAATTTTGGACCAAAATATTTGTTGAAGTTGTATCTCTGCGGAGCAGTTGGAGGCTCGGTGTTATACTTGTTGCACCACTACTTGATGGCTCTATCATCAAAGGTGAACCTAAATACATTGCACTGTTTTACTTTCTAGATATCTATTTCCTGAAGAAAGAAGTTTTTGGATTCCATGCAATCTTCTGCTTATCTTGATGTGCATAAATCAAACCATTTATTAAGCGACAAGAAAATAGGTTTTTAGGTAAATAATGTGAGCAAATGCTGGATTTTGACATCATATCTTATATCAAGCCTGGCACTGGATTTTTGAATCACGAAGTACGATATGAGATGACACTCTTGTGGTTTGCCACGCGCCCACGCCATAAATCTTGACAATCTCTCTCTCTCTCTCAGGAACAAGGAATCTGGAAGAGAGACCCCTCAAGGACTCCTGGACTGGTATGATCTTTGAGATTCTTTTCGTTATAGGAGCTTGCGAATTACAGGTGTTATTATTGCTGTGAGTCTGACTTCCTAGGTGCATAGACGAAAAGAAAAGTCTCTTGATTGTTTTCTTCAATGATGGCCATTTAAATCCATGTGGTCCTAAAATACTAGAAAATCTTTTCAAAAGCCAATAATTAGTTCGTTACTCGTCTAACGTCTTTAACTAGACCACACTGACACAGTACAATGCTAATCTATTACCTTTATAGATTCTCTAATTAGTCTGATTTTTCAAATGATAAAGCTGAAAGGTTTCAGGCTTTCAGCAGGCTTTTCCTTTGTGGTTGTGCACAACGGAAATAGTCCATTTTCTGTGTTGTGGGCAGTGGAATTTGAATCGTTTGCTTGAGTTACAATGTTAATTTTCAAGCATGCTTGTTGTACATTTAGGGAGCCAGTGGGGCTGTGAATGCCATCATGCTGCTTGAAATTTTCTTGAATCCAAGGGCTACCATTATGTTTGACTTCATCATCCCAGTTCCAGCCATGTTACTGGTAAGCTCCCGTAACAGAAACTTCATATCCTGCGAATGAACTTCGCTTTGCAACTCCTTGACATTGTTGCACATTGGCCGATTGCCATTTCAGGGTGTCTTTTTGATCGGGAAAGATGTGTGGAGAATAGTACAGGTATGTTAGTTTCTCAAATCTCAACCCTAAATTGCCTTTTAAGGTGAGATCTCGAATGTATAAATGTTGGTTGTTTTGGTGTTAATAAGTCATGTCCATTTCTTTGGTTCAGGGAGATAGCAATATCTCAGGATCAGCGCACTTGGGTGGTGCTGCAGTTGCAGGTCTAGCATGGTATCAAATTAGGAGAGGACGTTTCTGAGATGTTGTGTATCTTATTGATGGTGATGGTAAGTGGTGACAAACAGCAAGAGGAATAGATTGAGTCTCTAGTTCTGGAGATTGGCAAGGTTAACACATTGGTTAGAAAGTAGTAAGGAAACTTAAGTCCGAGTCGGTTTGGTGTCTGAACCAACTGGGAATAAGTAGATGATAATAGGTTCTGTACAAGTTGCTTAGAACTGTTTGATCGCACGGACTTGAATTAAACTCTGCAGTGAATTCTAGGAAGCATCTTTGAATTTCCATGATGTGCTAGGCCGTGGCGGATTCCGGTTTCCGGAATTTTTTTATAAAGGGGTTCACCTTCTAAAATAAAATTTAAAAATTCGTGAACAAAAAAATATAAGACTTGTACAAGTTACAACAAAAATTGTTATCATATTTTGAAAAAAAGGTTATTATCATAAATTGTCCCTCTACTAGGATTCACATCAAATTTATCCTCTATTACAACCACCTCTCCAAACTTGCCCTTATAAATTATGTCATAATTTCGTTAATGACTACTGGGGAGTAGGGATAGCAATGGGTGGGGTTTGGTCGAGTTTTATCAAACCTAATCCCAAATTTACGGGTTTATCCGTGAAAAAAATCTGGGGTAAAACCTACTGGGTTTGAAAAACTCAAATCCAACCCAACCCGCTGGGTATTCGCGGGCTCATGGGTACCCACGGGATTTTGTTGTAAAAAATTCACAATAACAAATTCCTGTCAAAATTCAAATCAAATTACTCAAATATCAATCTCTCAATACAATTATTCATATATACCATTCTAGAAAATTCAAGCAAATCACAAATTAACTATACAAATTGTTTAACACCAATCTAGAAACTCAAGAAAATTGAATCAAATCACAAATTATCCATAACTAACATGATTAATTGAAAGCTTCTTCCTTTCAATTAAGTTTTTCACTCTCCACTCGATAACATCAATTTCATTCTACATAACTAAAAAGAAAAAAATTAGACATGTCTCCACAAACATAAATAAGATTAGATGTTTAGAATATTAAATATGTCAATAAAATAATTATATGAGTGTGGGCGGGTACCCATGGGTCGGGTTTAACTAAACCCAAACCCAATCCAACCCGGTGAATAGTGAACGGGTTTAAACCCAAACCCGATCCAAAACCCGTCAACACGGATTTTACCCGCGTTGACCTGGTTGGGTCGGATGGGTACCCGTGAGTTCGGGTTTTGTTGCCATTCCTAATGGGGAGTGGTTGGACTGTTGGGCAAGGGCAATGTCCCCTTTACCAGTATGTTAAAAATATGACATTGCCTATCTATTTTGTCAAAGAAAAGGAAGAAGCTCTTACCTTGGCAAAGAAGAAAAAAAAAGCAAGACTTGACTTCGAAAGTAAACATCTCATTCTTCTTTGATGAGATTCATCCACCCTCTGGGTAAATGACCAGGCGGCGGAACAACATTGAGGGTCATTGGTCTCATTTCCGCCCTCTACTTCAACAACTGTCTCCATCATTGGCTTCTGAACAGCGTGACGACGAGCAGGTGTTGGGCGGATGACAACAAACAATGGGACAGCGGCAGCAGCAGTCATCTCCTTGAGTGAACGCATATGTAAGGTTCATAAATGTGGCTTGTTGGGATATCCAGTGAGGGAAGAGGGCAGCCGCCGTCAATCGACGGGCGATAGTCGACGCCGGCGCGGAACGAAGGAGGTGGAGGGAGGGAACGGAAGCTTGTGGGTTGCGGAGAGGTCTGTCGTGATTCCCTTCCTCTCCACAGAGGAAAGGTTTAAAGGGGGAGGGGTAAAGTTGGAATTTATCCTCCCATTTTATTGTCGTGGAATGGTCCAACAGCAATCCAGAAGTGATTAACGGAATTATGACATAATTTATCACAGAAGGGCAAATTTGAGACGGTGGTAGTTGGGGAGAAAATTTTGAATTGAATCATAGTAGGATAAGTCTGAGAAAAAGTTATAATAAAAGGGTAATCTATTACTATTAACCCTTTGAAAAAAATGTGGAATAAGCTTCACTAATCTCTTTCAAAATATTATTTTACACAATTGTTTATAAAATTATCGCCTATTCGATCTGAAACATATTGTTGGTGTTTTTTTATTTATAAAAAAAACACTTGGAGTTGCAATCAGTAGAATCAATAAAATTTTGAGAAGCAACTAGATCTATAGATATGATAGATTCAATTTTGTCTCCACCAAAACAACTCATTAATATAAGGGTAATAATACAATGATAAATAATTCTCAAAATCCTGGCGAATAAAGACTTATCCTAGTGGTATTAGTAATACTACTGGTCGTGAACCTTGAGTCCCAAGTTTGAATCCTCCAGTAGCACCTAATTATATAAATAAACTTATATCACCCTTATAAAAAAAATCTCAAAAACCCTGTAGAAGAAAAGAATAAGAAAGGCGGCCAAACTATTCATGATAAAATCGTGTGTTAAATACGATGGGGATGAGGGCTAGTTCGAGGATTTAAGTTTAGGCTTTGGAAGATATGGAGATAAGATTGGAAGACATTTATATTACATTTATGACAAAATTACAACAAGAAATGAAGTATAGTCAGATAGAAAAGATATTTTTTTTTTCAAAGATAGAAAGTCAGCCCCTAGTGCTAGGGTGGGAATGGGGGATGTGATGGATGATGGACATATGGAAGTGAAGTGGTTGTAACCGTGCATGGGTTGGGGGAATCGAAGGTTCCAGATGAACTGCATAACCAATCTTTTCAAACCAAATCATTGGTCGACCCGAGCTTGGTTTGCCGGCGAATCGAAGGTTCCAGATGAACTGCATAACCAATCTTTTCAAATCAAATCATTGGTCGACCCGAGCTTGGCTTGCAGGCAAATCGAAGGTTGCAGATGAACTGCATAACCAAATAAATAGTTATAACTTTTAACAACTACCAAACAAAAAGAACAACAAAAAAATGATCAAATGTTGTTTCAGTTTATTTTATTTTCATCTGAATAGGGCCGGTTAGTGTGTTCCCTGAATAGGTTTGTTCAATACTCGTTTTGTTTATGAGTTTAGAGTACGGTGTATAATTAGATCTGCGTTGGTTTTGAGTGAGATCAGATCTAAAAGGGATGAGATTAAAAATTCCATTGCCACTCTAGTATCACTTGGTACCACTATTTACTGCCTTCTTTTTTAACTCAAATATTACATATTTTGCACATACGAATTAGGCTAGTAATACTCCACCCTCTTAGTTTATGAGTCGAGCCAATGGTTCGACCATGCAATGGCTCAAAACAGGTTTACATATAAAATTCATGTCCAACATTTAACAACAACAAAAATATTACTTCATTCAATATCCATAAGAAACATAATCACCTCCCAAAGTACTCAATCATTTAAACATTGATTAAACAATGAACATATCAAAATGTTCATTAGGGACCTTGGCAAAACAATGATCGTTCTTTACCTCATAATGAAGTCAGAAGATGTAAGCTCAGACATTATCAATATCAATGTGGTAGTTGTTAGCATGAAAACACAAATGAGTCGGTAACTAAGTGAAATGTGTGGTTGCTCCAACCTTTATAGTAAAATTGGAAACACAATAAGTAAACACAAAATCCCAAATAATCACAAAAGGGTTGCTATATGTCAAAAAAATTAAATCACATCCTCAACATTAAATAAAAATGTCATTTATTCATTATCAAAATAGAAACAAGCGAAAGTAATATACAATGCATCATATGCATATTCTCTGATTATTATTATTATATTGGCATCAAGGTCACCATATACACACCCTCGCTCGAGCAAATCATCATCATCATCTATGGCCAATTTAAATGTCAACTCATCTCCGGGAAGAATTCCATTAATCTACCCAAAACTCAAGGTGTTTGGGGGATAAGTGAATGTCTTTTCTATCGTCTATGTGTTTTGTATGATTAAACAACAGTTAATTCCAATTTGTCTCATCCATCATTATCATCTTCTTGATCACAAACGATCATGTAACCAATGCATTCTCGCTAATTTCTAGGTCATGCATATCTCACGCAATCATTACACCAATATAAAAATATTGGATGTTGCAGACACCACATTGTCTGGGTCAAAACTTATTGTCACTCTCAAACTTATGATAGCAAGAAGGGTTGTTCATGCTAAACGAGAATAAGATCTTCGGTTCAAGTTTTGTACAAGATGAAGCATTCGAGTTCAATATCAAGGTTTGAATGCATAAGAGGTTTGAATGCACAAGGAAAGTACAAGATCGTATCATTGAAGAATTTAAAAGCCGGTACAATCATCGACACCATTACAAAAGTTTGTACACTCCTAATTGGTAAACTGAGTTTACAAATACAAAGCTGAGAAATAAAAGTTCAATGCGCTTGAAAAGCACACACTAGCAAATAATCTGCAAACAAAAGAAAAGAGGTCAGCAAATGAAGCCCAGAATCAGAGCCCAGTTCGGCCCAAGTTCAAGACTAGACCAAGCCCAATTCAAGCCTAGACGAAGAACATCACTGCAGGCCAAATTCGACCATTAAGCCGAAGCTTGCGGGTTTGGCCCAAACCCAACTCAACCCAAGCCGGCCCAACCTTATCCCACACAGCTAGTCAGCAACCGACATTGTAGGTGGAGGCTTAAGAGGCAACCTCAAAACTCGACCAATCAGATAGAAGCACGACGGTTTCAACCTCAACAAAAACCAATGACGAAACGACACGTGCCATATGTTTTTGCTACAAGAAGAGCTCTTCAGCTCATGATTTGGAGACGGTTTGGAGAGTGGAGAGAAGGGAGACGTTGGAGAAATAGTAGCAGATATAGAGAAACACTTCTCCATTTTGCCCTCATGGAAATTTCCTGTTCAAAGTTATAATAGTTGAAGTGCAAGGATTTCAAAGATCCAAAGTTGGCCACCAGGTTGGTGCTTGTAAAAGCAAAACTCTATTATTGAATGATATAACACCTACTTTTCACGAATT